GAAAGCAGTGAATAGACCTTCCTCAGCAGAGGCTGTTTGACACGCTTGGTCATATATGGGCATTTCGCGAGGTGCGAGGGTAGGGTGATCAGTGACAACTCGAGACATCCACCCCGGCTTTCGAATTTAACAAAATGTCACATCTATTGCAGAGGTGATTTGGTTGAGTGTGCATAACTTGAGGTTTGGATATGCCTCCGTTACCTTCGTTCTTCAAGAAATTGTCTAGGTAAAGGAAGAAATCAACTTCAGTCAAGCCTTGATTATCCGGTTTCGAAGCCCTGCCTTGCGATATCACTTTTAAGGCCGAGCTTCAGACCTTACAATTAATAACCATACACTTTCGTGCGTCCGTTTGGGTTGCTGTCGCATGACTGCCCATTTGGATGAAAGAACAGGAGGAAGACCGGAATGCTGTTGACAGATTCAAATGAAACAGAGAATTCATATGGACTAAGNGACTAAGGCACCACTGTTTGCAACACAGCCGTATCACTGTGTTTTAACCACTGGTTACGATGATCCCGGAGCCCCCATTCAAGAAGCCTAACGAGGTCTACGTGCACAAGTCTCCTGGTCAAGTCTGACTTCTACCATCCGTCATTTTTCCACCCAACAACTGCATTGGCATACCCTGGTGCCAGGCGCACGCCAAAAGAACTTATTAGTCTAGGTGTGTTTTGACGTCCTTGATACATTCCAACAGAAAGACGACATCATCAATTCACTCCAAACTGCACGGCTTTTATCCAGCTGCCTACTTAATACCAGCATTTCAGAATACATTTAAGACGTTCACCACCATTACATACACGACAAAATAGGTGCGGTAAAATGACGCACACTCGACGAACACCGTTGTTATTGACGAACAAGCTACTTAGTGGTAGAGCCTTACAAGAGGTATGAGAGTAAAGTGACCTTGGGAAGTTAACAATTTTCTGGGAACCGGAGAGCCTCGTAATCGATGATGTCAAAATCTCCTCTAAGGTGCACGAACATCTTCTAATTACATACAAAGTGCTTTACAACAGATAGAACGAACCCCACAGTTTAAAACATGAGAGAAAGTATTTAGAAGAACATTACAGTGATCCTGCTTTTTAAAACCATAAGATTATAAGCGGTTGAAAACACGGAAATGGAAAGTGTTCCACAAATTTGGAGTCCTGAAGAAAAACAGACAGAAAAGCAAAGGTTCGATATCTGGGTACAAAAATCTGATAAAGATGGTGGTGGTAGCGCAGTAGTTTAGTCGTTGTCAATGGCGTGCTTTGGACCCTATGGTCCGAAGTTCGAGCCCAGCTACCATCAAACAACTTTGGTGGTAGGTAGCTTGGCTGTCGTCCGGTTGAATACCACGCAGTAACCTATAGGAGACCGTATGTAGTTCACCACTGCAAGTCCCGGGGTGTAAGTTAACGGCTTCCATCAATGAACAGCAGGTTCTCGTGACCATGGGGTTTACCCCGCTTGGTGTACATCACATTTCAGTGTGTAAAAAAGGGTGACAGTGAACTTGAGAACGGGATGGAACATAAAAAGACAAGAGGAAGGGAATGGTTGAAGAGAGTTTAGAAGAACGGGAACGAAAACTACACTCCAGTACACTTTTTGATCAGCAGATGATACGTAACTGGAGGACTTGACGCTACGTATAGGTCTGATCAACAGACCCGTGACCAGTTCGAATCCGGTCCGATGTTCACGAATGTTTTACTCTCTTAATGGCGTCGGATGGTGAAGCATGGCGGTAGTGTACATCTTGATGGCTAGTATAATTAAACTTAGATACGTCGAAGTATGATTAGATGAGATAGAAAACAAACACCTAGAATCAGTACATTATTGAAAGAGCTATAATGGAACACTGAAGAAAACGGTTAATTACGGAAAATGAATGAAAAGGGCGTCTACGAAAATGCGATAGCCCCGGCCATAAAAAACTTATTCTAGAATGGTTTGTGCAGTTGTTGCAAGATCCCTCCTTGAAAAGCAAAACCACCAACGATTGGCTCCAGGATGACAGGATACGATCCTACTACAAGAGGTTCACAGATGAATTACACCCTTCATGAAAAAGTAGGGGAGTGTATCAGGTTCAGCTGCTTTAATTCTGTTTGAATGTAGAATCCTTCATATACTTCTGTTGGAGGATCACACGACACTGTTCAGATAGAGCAGACGAGGAAATCTGGATAGCACCACGCTAGCTGAAGTATCCACCAAGCGATCAAGCATTTTTTCATTGCTGTGGAAAGCTTGATTAGTTTCATCGCAGATTGTTTCACTTGATGAAATCGGCTGACCTCTGTATATTGCAGATCAGTTGGCAATAGATTGACCATTCCGAGGTTATGGTTACTTCCGATTCATCAGCCATTAGGCCTACCGGTTTTCAAGGTTCTCCATAAGGCGTCTTGTGAGTTGACGTAGCAGCCGCGACCTACATCTGAAAGATTTTCAAACCTCCTGATTTTGCCTATGGCTGATCGGAAATTCTCGCCTATCGATCATCGAGGTTATCGAGCTCTGAGAGATTTAACAACTTACCTTGCAGAGTTCTCAAACAAAGCCCATTTAATGGCGCGCGACAACAGCTGGATCAATCAGGCAACGATACACAAGGCGAACGATTAATCCAAAACTGAAGAGTATCGGAACGGATGCGTGAACAGACCCAATAAAAATGATCCAATAGGACCAATTACTTCAAACGTAGACGACAGTTACCAGGTCTATTTGAATAATCTCATCCAAAAAGCTCAGTATGTTCGGGGTGGGTGTCTAGAGTTCTAACTGGTCACCCCACCCTTGCACCTCATGAAATGCTCCCATACGACCAGGCATCTCGAATAGCCTCTGCTGAGAAAGACCTACTCACTGCCTTCTCGTGACGGAGGTGTCTTCTCACCCAAGTGAGACGACGAAAAGCCGAAAACCAGGGCTATAACCGGGTTGGTGGACCACTGGTAGTCCACCTAAGGCAGTTGGCTGAAAGCCCTGATTACAAACCAACCATGAGCAGGCGTTAGAACCACAAACACCTTAAGGGTTGTGGCAGTGGTTACAGGCTCGATTGAGCATCGAGGTGTATTGGGCACCTTGGACGTTTGACCCCGTCCAAAAGGCGTATGATCCGACGAACCGAACACTGGCTCCTAATGAACTGCGGTTTTTACACCGCCCCGCTGCCTTGCGGGTCAGGTTTTGGCTAGCCAAAGGCTCCGGTTGCGGATTCCTCAAGAAAATTCACCTGCCTTGGCCTGGGCAACCTGGCAGTATTCAGCCCACGTGCAAATCATGGAACGTTTTTCTTTTTATAAAGATTATTGTACTGCAATTTGTTTGGCACACAGTTTGGATTCAGACGTGTGTGAAAAAAATATGTATGCATGTATACCCGTTGAACTGGAGCGTCAAGTCAAGTCAGTCAATCCAAGGAACGCTTCATGCCTCAAAAGGGTGAGTTTTCAGCAATAAGCGAACCTGTAGAGTTCTATAAAACTTACAATCACAAAAATAACAGAAAAGAAATTCGATATCATAGTTGA